ACATTTCAAGGCAACATTTAACCTCAGAAAATCTACATAGCAAGTCACAATCTATGAAATTCACAACTGTGCTCCATTAACTATACAGGGGTATCTTCTATGTCATCTGAATTCTCATCTTTCCTAAAGGCATAAAAACCATCACACCTATAATTCAGATTTTCCACATCAATAGCACTCAACCATAATGGCTGTTTCCGACCGTCAAGCAAGGTGATGATACCTAGCGAATCTGCGAAGGATGTCTTGGGCTTTCAAGTTGAAGTTGTTTATGATTTAATCAAGTTAAATTGAGTTAGTGATTAAGAATAAAGCATACTTCATATATCTATGTAAAGTCCATTCACAAATTTTTTGGGCTCGCTGCAATTTCATTTACACTAATTTATCAATGCATACTTTACATATATTCAAGTATAAATACCTATACACATCTAGACACTGCTCCAATACATCAATTATAAGCATGTCTAAAAATGTGCTAGATGTTAGTGACAGAAGAACAATAATGCACAAACCGATCCACAAGTAGGAAAAGAATATTCTAGATTCCACTGAAAATTAAAAGACTAAGAAAAAAGCAAACTATAAAATTGATGAACGATAATTTAAAATCTAGCATTGTTCAGAGGACAAGAGTGGTTCAAGATGGAAGACTATGAAAGTACAAGGAGACCTCCAAACAGCAGTGGACTGATACAGCAAGATGATGTGACACTTTTGGGGTCTGATACTGGGGTGATGTACAAACCAGTTAGAGATCATGATGCCTTGACATGGAGAGGGAACAACAAAACAGAATAAATCTGGTTGTCCACTAAAAAAAAAAAAAGAAAAGAAAATATGCTGTCCATGACATCAGCCACCTAATATAACAAGGTCTCTTTCTCTTTCTCTCTCTCTCTGCATCCATCCATCCATCCACCTCTGCCCATCACAAAATACACAAACATGAACAAAAATAAGCACATGTAGACATGAAATCAATGAAGCTAGGATTGGAGGTTCATACAGGCAAATAGCCTTCTCCTGTATGACCTGGCCACCCTGAGCACTTTCTCCATTTCATTCATTTTGGGATCAACCTACAAAGAAAACTCACGGAGTACTTGATACCATACCAGCCCATGTGCTTTTTTTCCCCTTAATGTACAAGTAGTGCACAATCAATTCACTGATACCATAACCATAATGTCTGCCCAATGATGCTGATCTCTGGCTGCTACCAATATTCACCTTGAAAAAGAAGAGAAGATAGAAAAGAGGAGAGGAGAGAGGAGAGGAGAGACCTACTATGTGTGTTGGCCTCACTGTTTGTATTTATGTACCTCACTAGTCGGGAATCGAGCCTTGGACCTCTGCGTGTAAACAGGGACAACAATAGCAATCCTAGGCTTTGTTTTATTTCACACATAGCCTGTTCATTCGTCTTATTTTTAAGCACCGTCAACCTCCATCAGGGATTACCCATGCCAACTACATGGTGGTTGTATCATTTTACCGAATCCAGCTGGGAAACACGAGGCTACATATTTATCTCAACTGTCCATCTACATGCGGACTTCCATATACAATACCTCACGAGATAGGTATTGTTTTTATAAGGAAGTCAGCATGTATATGGACTGTTGAGATATGTATGTATGTTAGTGTATGTATGTATGTATGTACTGTATCTGATATTTCTTCCCACAAATTAAAATTTGTATTTACAAAGGAATGATTGTGTAAACTATCACAATGCAGACTCTTACATCCATACTGATGGCCTATTTTACACCCATTATGCACAATTTGGGGCGACTTCTAAAAGAAGTAGTTTTGTGCATGTTACACGTATAAAACAAGTGCCAGTACACCTCTAAAAGTAAGAGATTTTAATTGAGTGTGCATTTATTTGAATTATTTTGCTATGTATTTCAAAATTTGAAAACTGTGGAGTGGGCGTGATCAATTGGGTTAAAAATTGCATGAGCCGAAATGTAGAGGGAAGGAAAGCCAGGGGTAAGCCAAGAATGAAGAATGACATGGGGATAGGCTGAGACATATAACATTAGAGTTCAGAACCTGACAAAAGACTGCAAGAGATGGTGCAGCATGGAGTGCAGCCATCAGGTAACCAGAGGTAACCCACTCAAGTGTGGAAAATGGCTGTAAACCAAGAATGATAAAACCTCATTAAAAATTGACAAAACAGTATGGGACAGTACAGGGAGAAAAGCATGAAAAGAAAAGGGCAGAAATATCAATTTAATTACAAATTATGCAAGGTGAACACATATTCTCCACACTGATCACAATGATTTACATCAATTCACTATATTTGCTAAGAAGTCCCATCCTTTTTTTTAATGTAAGAATGCCAGTTTTACATCAGTAAATGGAAACAAGCATCTCATCTATTCAGTTGTAATATTCACACATCCTTACAGCTATCATACCTGACCTTATATTGGTAAAAAAAATCACTACCATAACAAAACTTCTCAATCCTTGTTTAAAAAAAAAATTCTGTTTGCATGCCCTGCTCATCTGTTTCAATTCCCAAGTAGTTAATTGATCTGAACGAATTTATTCAATTTTACAATCTACTTTCGGACTCCGGCATACCTTTCCCAACTCCACTTTCAACCACCACACCCAAGCTCACTATCACCCACCACACCGAAGCTCACTATCACCACACCCACCACACACGAAGCTCACTATCACCCACCACACCGAAGCTCACGATCACCCACCACACCGAAGCTCACTATCACCCACCACACCGAAGCTCACTATCACCCACCACACCGAAGCTCACGATCACCCACCACACCGAAGCTCATTATCACACACTTCTCAACCTTATTTTCACCCACCTGTAGCATCCTTATTATCACCTACATCTCACCCTCAAACACACTTTCCCACCCACACAGTCAACCACATCTCCCACCCTCAATTACCTCCTATTGCTATATCCAAACATCTACTATATAACAAAAAATAAACAATCACATGCCACTCCCGCATACAATACCACATTAAACAACTAAATTTACATTAGGCTTTCATGATTAATCCTTTAAAATTGGGGGTTAAGTTAAATCCTATTTTCACCTAAAGCCGAGAGAAAAAATAATAGAACATATAAATGTGACATTCCTAGCTGTATGCTTGAAGGCAAGTGGCATGCCCCCATGAGTTAAAGGTTTAATCTTGTGCTGTCCCAAATTTTGTGAAAGCAGTAAATTTCCTCAGCTAAAACATTCAAAATTCCTGTAAATGCAATGCTTCAGTTTACAAACCTTCATCCTCTTACATCTTCTCTGTTCTGTTCCTCACCTCTGAAATTCACTTGCATATTACACAACCATAATCCTAATTAATTTTCCTGTATTGAAAATAACATGGGCAGTACTGTGTCTTTATTTTTCCACCAGATATAGTAATTACTAAGTTTTGTATCAGTCTCTTAACATTATACAAATTCTAGTGATAAGGTGGTTACACCCACTCACACAGACACACACACTTATTCACTCAAAATTCTGGCCAATAAACTTGGTCCTCTCACCCAAAAACCTTTTAACTGTTGACCAGGTGGTCAACACAGACTGATCAGGGTGACCAACAGTCCAAGACTTGAACATCCAAGAGACTAAGGATCTGATCATTTATGGAATTAAGGATTAGGTGATCAATACACTACTGACAAATTGCTAATCAACTTATAATTTGGTATATTGGTATGTTCTTAACTGGTCACGACATCCATTTATATAATGTATTTCACTAATCCAAGAAAGTTTTGGGGTTCCCATTGTAAAATAAAAGACCACAAACAACATATAATAAATTTCCTGTTTCTATTGACAACAAGACTTTCACCAGATTTAGCAACCTTCATAGCAAACTAAAACAGTCACTGAAGTAATCTACATATTGATGTTGCTGTTCCGAGACAACCATTTGCTTACAATAACAAATAGTAATCAGTGAAAATGAGGACAGCTGCCTCAATGAGCAAAGCAAGAAGAAAACCAGTAGGAAGATATCACAAAAAAGTCAGATTTAACAGTGGAAAGGCCATGACAATTTTACTATTACCACCAGAGATGGAAAGTGAATGTGACAAGAAGTGAGCCCTTTGCCTTCTTCCACCAAGGCAGTAGTCTCATGATCAACTCCAGTAAATTACTTAACTGATTTAATATTTTAACCTACATCAACACATTAACTGCAAACAGTTGGCTGATTAATTTAGCTTAAATAACCTAACCTTATTTTTCCGTATACCCTTCCATTCCATTATATTCATATTAACATCAATACTGAAATGAATCATTAATAGAAATAATATTGAGGATTAAACATTTACTACTGCAATTATAACTTTCTAGTCAGGCAATTTCAGTCAAATAATCAGGTCCTAAAACCTTTGTTTTTAAAACATCCCAATAGTCAGTAAAAAAGCAGTCTTAACTATCAAATCTACCACATGGTCAGCACTTCAAATTGGTTTAAATTCAATAACCATTGGTGTGCACCGAGTCGTCTACCTCTGCTTTTTCGATGACAACATTTCCAAATATAACCCAACCTCAGCAATGAAACTGTCTCAAAAATTCTAAATCCAAAAGTTTAACCAAGAACTGCTGACTATACAGTACCCTGATGAACGAATTAAAAATTATTCATACTTACAAAGAACACTTCTTCAAAATGAAATTCCTTCACCTTCCAGCTTCATATCTTCATACAAGATGGTACATACTCAAGACTGCCACCTGAACATTGTAGTCTATAAACACATAACCCAAGCTGTGCGCATATAATATGGCATTACAAATCAGTCTTAAAAACTTGAAGTAACATGTACAGTATCATGAATGTAAACAAAATAATAAAGTAAAGAAAAAATTGAGAAGACCCTATAAGAGATACACAATCCAGACTCAATGTATTAAGACAAGGCAGAAAAAATGTCTAAAGGACAACAAGAAAAAACAATAGCAAAGACGGCCCATTGCCCATTTATTGGCGAATTACATCTTATCTATAAACAGGTACAATGATCCAATTATACTACTCCAACTTCATCAACTGAACACAATATCCTTCGACATATACAACTCAGCTAATATGTAGAGCACAAGCATCCTCTCAAAGGACCAAAGAATGAGAACTACAATCTAACCTAATGTTACAAATAAAAAAGTATCATTTACATGCACATCGAAGAATGACAGCAAGTGATTTTTTCTTTACATTCTTTCTAGTTTGTGTACATCTATGTTTCTATCAGTATTGGGAGCAAATTACCAATTCCAAATCACAAGTTTGTCAATACCAGATCGAACAAGTCTCGAACACAACCAACTCCATAAATTAAGAATTGTGATTTAAATGTTGCCACTTGGTGTAAAGTACACAAACACCCACTAGAGTAGAATGCCATATATAATCCACATCAACACAGCAATCCTCCATCAAAGTAGTCAGTCTTCAAAACCATCAGCTTGGAACTAGGCATAATTCAATCCTCCAGAACTGCCAACTCGAGAAACTGACGGGCCACTGAGATGACACAAGCCCCCATGTAAGCAGCCATTACCTTTGCTAGTAGTCATCGGCTGGCTTCGTTGTTCATTCGTCACACAGCCCCTCTCGTCTGGTGAGATACGTTTTATCTCACGGACCCAGTTATTCTCTTAACTCCTGCTTGAAATGTCACTCCTATAGATAAAATCTACAGAAGAATCACATCCAGAATTCTTCCATCCAGACGCTGACGATCCAGCATTTCTGAAAACTTTGTTAAGGAAAATATTTCGGAATAAGTTCAGTTTAAATAGGCTACTGAGTAACTTTTGAGAAAGTTCAAGCTGTTGATGGAAGATAATGGCTTTGGTAAGTGATAGCAAAGCCAGGTTTGAGGCCTTCATATGGAAGGGAGTATCACAACAGAAAACATCTAAAGCAGAAGAATAAAAGAATGAATGACAACAAATGCAAGAAAACACATGTTGGCATTTGCTTTCATTTCCAACCACCCTGTATTAGCCCATTCACAGTTCAACATAATATTGACTCATAAAACTTGCATATGGGCCATAGTTAGTGAATCTTTACAACATAGAAATGGTTATTATATTTCCTGTCATATTAGGTGCACTGCCTTGGAAGATGCACCCCTAACTTAGCTGGGAATATCAAGGGGGAAATTTTTTTTAAGCAGCAGCAACTTCCTTCTCAATGCTATTGAATTTTACTCTGCCTTACATCATAAGTTGTCTTATGTTAGCAGTGTGTGAGTGTGTGTGTGTGTGTGTGTGTGTGTGCGTGCGTGCGTGCGTGCGTGCGTGCGTTTTCTGATTTTTTTTCCATTATGAATATTATAGCAATTAAAAGGACTGGAGTATATTCAACTATAATTCTGCAGTAAAAAAAAAAGATAAAATAATGAACTGAAAACTTGATGTCAGTTTAGCTGAATCAGAATGACTTTCCCAAAGAACCCTGATATACTGAATACATGTTATTTATTACAATGTTCTTTTCACCAAAAGGAAAACTCATAGCAGCTTTTGGTAATTAACTGATACATGATGCATATATAATACAAAGCACCACAGCAGACTAGAAGTGTGTGCAAGGCATAATGTTGTCACCTGATGCCGTGTTGCACATGACAAAAAAAATCCCCACCAACCCATTGAACTTTCCTCCATATAAGCTGCCTGTCCATTGCCAGCACGAACCTAATACATAACCTTAAGTAATAATAATAATAATAAACTTCCATCCTAGATTAGGTTGTTCTGTTGATTTGTGTGTATTACTAAATTAACAGTACTGTACATAAAACTATATGGAAAATTGAAAACCATGCCTATTATTATTGATACACCTCCCTGTAATTGTCTTCCTCTTTTGTCTTTAAAATGTCAATGGGCTACAACAGCGCAGGCACCAACAGTGGCATCGTTCCTTATCCTCGGGGGAGAAAAAATAAATAAATAAAAAAAATGCTATTCCTGCACCCAATTTACTTTATTCTTGAGGTAAGGAAATAAGTTTTCTAGATATTTTTTGTTAGGTGTCCAGTTAACTCAGGCTACTGGCCTTAAATATTACAGTGTTGGTTTTAATCTGGGTCCTCATCTCCCTCGGGTTAATCTTCAGCATGTAAGAGGAAGGGTCAGAACGCGTATGTGTGCCGTGGGTGTCAACAAAGTGTGTAAGAGACTGCTCCTTAAGTCATATTTCTGACAAATTCAGCGAGTCTACTAATCCCAGTGTGTGCAGACAACTATAGTAAGAAATTCAAAGAAAAATCTATGCAGTTTGGAATTGGCTGGTCTACGGGTGAGAACAATATTCAATGAAATACATATAAATTCGGATACTGGAATTAAATTTTCCTGAGCCTTGTAATAAGAGATAATTATAGGTTATCAGGACAATGGGCCCCACTGTCATGCAGGCTTATAGTAATATGCATGCAATTTATTCAATTTTCATAAAAGGATACCAACTGCTCTGCGAGCATCAGCTTCAGTCTGGAATCGAACTGTTCCAGTTCCTTTTGATCGAATCTCTGCAAATCTGATGTCTCCAAATTCCCGACACAGGTCACGTAGAGACTGCCACGTATAGTCCATAGGTAACTGAAATAAAATTTTCACTTCAATATTAAAAACTTGATTTTCAATTACTTAATAAAAAAGGAATTGTTATAACATCTCCAGTTCTTTAACTGCTGGAGGAAGTACTATGCTATTAAAGAAAGGTTAATGTTCCCAATTGCTGGATTTCATTCATATTATAACTAAACAATAATAAAATCTCAATATATGTTCAGAGACTTTTATACAGAACCCTCTACTTTCTATTATTAATTATATATCTCTAATCTGAATGCAGATTTTTCAACTCACAAACCTACAACAATAAAGACTACTAATGTATTTTCTTTTGACATCTGCATTACTTTGAAAAAGAAAATACGTTATTATACAACTAGAGAAACATTGGTACCACTCCAAGGTCTTCAGGAAATGTTCTGAGCACTGATTACAATATGATGGCCAACAACTGTGATGTGCTGGCATGATTCTGTACACGATAATAATGAAATGAAGAAAAGGCAATGACATAAATCTTCCGTGTTTCCTTCATACAAACAAACAAAAAACTTCCACCCTTTTGTAAACTTAAGGATACCAATATTAAGAAGAATAAGCATAATAACTTAATGCCAATGCCTGATCATGCTTTATTAAGTATAAAGACCCTTAAAGTACTTACATTACTCAGCTGGATTATGTTCCTGTATCCACCAGAGTAATTGCTATTGGAAGCACTGGTGCCGCCACTACCATGGTTGTAGTCCCGTGACAAACCATACCCTCCTCCACTGCTACCGATGTTGCCACGGCTCATGCTTGGACTCACAATTCCACTGGTGCCACCAATACCAGCCCCTACTCCCCCTGCTAAGCTGGACACCATGCTACTTGATGTACCCATTCCAGCGCCTCCCATTCCACCCATCAATGATGAGCCCATACCATTTCCCATGTTATTCATACCAGTTCCCATGTTACCCATGCCAGTGCCCATGCCAGCACCCATGCCAGCACCCATGTTACCCATGCCAGCACCCATATTACCCATGCCAGCACCCATGTTACCCATACCAGCTCCCATGTTACCCATACCAGTTCCCATTCCAGCTCCCATCCCAGTTCCCATACCAGCTGAACCACCCATTCCCATCATGCCCATGCCTTGTCCACCCATGTTGCCCATATTTGATGCCATAGCACCAACAGCTGGCATTGCCGTCACACCAGTGGCAACAGTATTTGGCAGAGCTGCAAGAGAGGAATTATGTGCATCAGTTACCTTAAAGGAATAAATTGAAGTTTCTTTGAATTGCTTAGAAATATATTTGCTTAATTATTATAATTCAATATAACAAGCAGTGTTATATATGAAGTTGTTTCTTAGAGAATTTTAGAAAAACTTTTAACCAAGACTTAACGCCAGTCCCTTTCTGCTTTTCTCAGAACTTGGATGACTCCCACCAAAAATCCAAAACCTTAATTTTTTTAACAAAAATAAAAAATATATTCAAAAAATAATTCATATACTGTACAGGAATTAACCATCAATAATCACAGTCCAATAATTATACTTAATTCCATTCAAATCTACATATTTAAGTATAAAACTTAAAAACCGCTTTCTTATTTCTATGTAATTTCATCTCAATAACAGTAAAGACTTTCCCACTTGACTATTTACATGTTTAAACTGCATGTTAAATCATCCCGAGGCAAACAGAACCATAACTCCTTTAACACTTTCACATCCCAAACATACTTTATACAGTAATTTTGTTAAGAAAAGGAAGTCACTAAACCTGTATTCTACAACTAAACTTACACCTGCAGTATACCGGGAAAAGGCTTGAGAAAAAACTTCTTGATCTTAATATAAATTAGTATGCATTACACATGACTTACTTTTATACCATCTAAACCTTTCCAACACTTCAGCAACTCCATTCACAGCCACTCAATACAGCTCTAAGCCTTTAACCCTCTTTCACACTTTAGCAACTTCATTAAACCCTTGTGCATTTAATCACATGACCAAAACTCCCCATTTCACCCATCAGGGAATCTACATAACCATTATCTAGACGAGCTTAATCCATGTAATTTTCAACTTACTTCCTTGCCCCACTTAATATAAACATACTAATATCTCAAGCTGGTGAGGGTGTATAAACCATGTGACTTTCAGAACTGTACAAAAACTTTCAACATATTGAAATACGTATACTCTGACCCAGAAATAACAAGCTTCATGAGATTCAAATGTTAACAGAAAGAACAGTCAACATCAGAATTACTTGAAAATTGGGTCTGTCTCAACTGTTATTTTTGTATGTACCTGTGCTGTACTGTAATAAGAGAAATATGTAAAACCCTAACTACTGGACATCACTTTTACTATCCTATTTGGCTGATGCCAGACAATTTTATTCAGCACAGACAGGCCCCTCTTACCCAAGGGGTTAAATGTTCATATACAATGTATTACTTTAATGATGAATAAATATTGAAGCAGTTTTGCAACACAGTAGGAAGATTATTGCAAAACATCCTACAAATGCCCATCTCTACATGCAAGCCAGCCCCAGGTTTCAATGTAATTGTCAAACTTTAATTTTTAGTTTTCTTTACTGTATTTTGTCATTCAATTTCTTCTTTTCCCTTAAATTATGTGATCCGAGATATATAAAAGGACTGAGGCTATGATGTGAACTTAGGTTATGTGTTCAATTTCCGATTTAAGAACGTCCTCAGGAATGGAACTCGTTCGTAACCTGGGAATCCCGTATAAATAATGGTTGCCCTCTCGTGTAACAAGGATGGCCAACCCAAGGGCCACCTAGACATGAATTTGTTTAAGGTGTAGAAGCTGTCGCCAACACAACAACCACACCCTAAGTTAACGAGTTGCATGACCCAGTGTCAAGAAATAATTCAAGAAGACCAGACAACTCACCAACTGCACTGACTAACTATTACCCCGGAACACGATCCACAAATCGATAAACATCCAGGTCCCCAATTACTGCTGGGCAGACAGGCAAATGGCAGAAAGAAACTTGCCCACTGTTTCACCCTACCCAGGGATCGAACTCGCTTGCGAAGCGAGCATGCTGCTCATTACACCACAGGTCAACCCCCTGTATAGGAGTTATGGCTAACAAGAGATATTATTGCATTTATTTGTTAACAACATAGCTATTATTAGGATAGCATTACACTGCCCCCTAGCTTAAGACAAGAGTTGCATTCCCAGAAAATGCCATGCAGAACAAACCCATTATAACACAGGGAGATAGGGGATGCTTCAAGTGGAGTGCCACCACCACCTCACACCACCCACCACCAGCCCAATGCTGCATCCCACTCCCACAATCGCACACTAACTACCACTGATGTAGGAAACGTTTATTCTTTTTATGTTTTTGACCTTATGATAAATTTTTCCACATTTGTATGAACAATTGTGTGCATGAAAGAGTAAAAAAAATATAATAATAATAATAATAATAATAATAAATTGCATTTATCTACCTGCAAATAAGTGTTAAAAAATAACAGTAACACAGCTTTGCCTGGTAGGAGAATGCAGCTTCAGGGACAATCATGTTGGCAACATATGAAGTCCATACATATTTCCACATCATACACATGTACACCCACACTCAACATTTTTCTTATTTAATAGCAACATGCCATGTCCACTGATATTTTCTTTAATTATAAAATACACTCTACTGACTGGGTCTGCTTGGTGTGGGAATGCTACCCATATTCGACTGCCAGCTGGATCAGCTGGCCTGCGCAAAATATGTTCAAGCTAACCGCATTCCGCCGAATTTTCCCATGTTCGAGTGAATCTTAGCCCCGTGTCAAGCGGTACCACGCCGTAAAAAAAAAAAAAAAAAAAAAATTCCAACTTAACAGTGCTAAAACAAACCTGTGTTAACCCTTACGCCCTGGGTGACGTTCCAGAACGCGAGCCTTTTCCCACCACTGTTTAAATGCCCGGCGGGGGTTATCAAGTTCCAGTGACTATTTGTGTCACGCCACAAGCTAGGCCACAGGGAAGCTTCCTGAACGTAATTACCTACTTTTGTTTGTTTTATTTTCATTGTTTGTCCATTCTATAATGTTGTATCAAAGTAATATTGCTAAAAGTAGTGAAGTTGTATTGTAGTATTACTGAAAAATAATTATATGATTATGTTATAAATGTATTTATTTGTGGAATTATTATTCCATTAATTATTTATATGCATTACTTGCTCTACCAAACACAATGACAGCCTGGCGACAGACTGCGCGTGTCACCGAGCAATTTTTATGAAAAATAATGCAAATAAAATAAATTATAAATGAATTATTTATAGGAAATAAATATTATGATCAAAAAAATATATGCATTACTGGCATCCGGACTCAAAGGCAAGCTAACAATAGCTGCTAAGTGTGAAGTTGACCACGTGTGCTTGCCGTCAACAAGCTGCCCCCTTATCTCCCTCCCCCCTCCGCACTACCAGGGAAGTTTCTAGATGGTCAATATATAGTTTTTCTTACTTCTTTTTCATTGTTTTATCATTCAAAAAGGTTAAATAGTATTTTTTGGAAAAGTAGATTTTTCTCGATTTATCCCCACGTGGGGGTTATGCCCAGCGGCACCGTATCCCAGGGCTTAAGGGTTAGGCGAGGGGGCATTGTATTTTGCTTAAACAAAATAAAAATGTATTCTTCATTACCAAGAGGATGACCAATGAAGCAGTATAGGTGGTCCACAAACACCCACACAGGATGAAAAAGTTATATCATCAATGCTGAAATCTCAAAGGCAATGCAAATTGCAATTATTGCCTTTCAATATAAAGGTCTAAGCAAACCTGAAATGGCTCGCCGGACTGGTCTAGCAAAGTGCAACAAGCTTTGGAGGACTTCGTCATAAAATTCCAGGTGAATGTGCCAACATCACTCACCTCAAATGAAGAAAAACCTTGGCATCATTTCAAGAAAAATGAGAATATGATGAATTTAAAGAGGTATTAGTTTCATCACTTGCAAATATAAAAATTAAAATGCCTTGAGGTCCTGACCCCCCCCCCCTCAATTCTTTCAAGCCTTTTCCCAAATATGCAGAGTAGTCAGAGTAAAGACCACATGTGCACACACACTTTTCTTTAAAGCTAATACTCTTCTTACTATAACTGTAGTATGCAAAATTCACTCTTTTGAACAAGTTTCAATGATACTGTTCAACACAACTAAAGAAATTTTTTTACTAAGCCTAAAAAAACAAGGTCTCTTCATGCAAAGCTTAAATAAATTATAGCTTCCCAAACTAAAGCAAAGCCATTTCATTCAATCATAAAATGTACAAATACACAAGTAATAAGTTACCAACAAGCCTACAATTGTCTTAATTAGCCCAAGCAAATGAAAGGCACAACCAACTTCGAATTAATTCCTTTCCCCTAATTTTGGACCAAATGACACTTCATGTGTAGAGGGGTAACACTGCCTCAACCATCTATTGAAAAGGGTAAAGAGGAAGTATACAAGGCAATTTACCTCTCAGATATACATCAAAGGTAATTAGCAGATGATTAGCCATTTGTACTTCCGCCATAAACCTACTTCAAATTTCATGAAGACCAACATCAATAGTTTATACACATTCCAGCACCAGACAGAAGAAACACCTTTTATAACTACAATAACTGGCCTCATCAAAAACAATTAAGCTCAACAGTACTAACATCACCACCCACAAGGTCCATCTTACCTCCAGTGATATTTGGATTAATGGAGGGAACATTATCTGTAAGAAAAAAGTAGGCATCATGTCACCCAATGTTGTCATAACAACTACCTGGGTTCAATTTTTTTTTAACTGAAGTGCCTCATCACCTACCTCTCTGCAACAAACAAAAATAGATATACACCAGTACCTCAACATATGCGAGTTCATCTCTCGCAAATTCAACCATCTGCAAAACGAGCTTCAGAGGTTGTTATCTATTAAAATAACACAAAAAGGCAAGATGTTTACTTTAAAAACTGCGGGCATCTGCCACGATGTGACATCATGGTAGCATTCACCGCAGCTGTGCTCTCCCACATCTCCTGCCAGTCTCGTCTGAGAGCAATTCTAAGGTTAATTATAAATGTCACGGCTCCCAAAAAGCCATTAACTGGTGGTAGTGCATCTGGTGCAGAGAGAGTGATGAAAGTCATGACTTTGACACAAAAATTTTATTGTCAGATGAACTTGCTAGCAGCATGAATGTGTCAATGGTTGGCCGTGAATTCGAAGTGAATGAGTAAACTGTTTATTCCACAAAGATGAAAGGCAAGGAAATTATTAGTAGTGTTGCTCATCATGCACCACAATGCTAATGTTACATCAGATACATGATAAAGGTATGGAGATGATGGAGAAGGCGCTAAGTGTATGGATTGAAGACACGAGTCAGAGAAATGTGCCAGTCGAACAAAAGGTTATTCGTGATAAAGCTGCGAGTTTTTATGAACGTTTCAAGCCAGGAAACATGACCAAGTTCTACACTTTTCCAAGGAAATAAAGGTTGGTTTGACAAATTAAAAAAAAGATATTCACGGCACAACGTACGTCTCAGAGGTAAGGCAGCAGCTGCGGACCACATATTCAATGTAGAGGAGACCGCTTTATGGTTTAAGAGGATACACACACTCATATATCTCACCCAGGAAGAAAAAGGGGGCCTCAGGTTTTAAAGCAGCAAAAGATCAGACTTCACTCCTTATGTGTGGGAATGCGGCAGGCTTTATGATAAAGGATATGATGCTTTACCATTCCTGCAACCCCAGGGCACTTAAGGGGAAGGACAAGCAACGTCTTCCTCTATTTTACAGGTCAAATTAGAAAGCGTGGATGATGGGAATACTGTTTACGGAATGGTTCCATTTACTGGTTTGTGCATGAAGTGGAAAAGTACCTAGAGAAGAAAAGGCAGAAATTCAAGGTTCTCCTCATCCTTGACAATGCTCCTGCCATCCTAAATCTGTTGAATTGCAAACCCTAATGTTTATGTGTTGTTTCTGCCCCTCAACACCACCCAGCCTCTTGACCAGGATGTTATATCAACGTTCAAAGCATATTATACTCGTTGTACCTAAGACAGATCCATCAGGCAATGGAGGAGGATCAGAAACTTAATGTGCATAAATGTTGGAAGGATTATAATATCACTGACTGCATAAACAACATCCAAGAACCCCAAGATGAATTGAAAGCAATGACCATCAATTTGTGTTAGCAATCTATTTGGAAGAAAGTTGTGAAAGACTTCACAGGGTTTCCTTCTGTTAGACGTGAAGTTACAAAAATTGTGAAGATGGCACAAGAAGTTGGAGGGGAAGGTTTTGTTGACCTGGCCCCAGATGAAGTTGTGGAGATGCTTGAAACACCAGGAGAGAAACTGAGTGAGGACTTTCTTAAAGGAGCTTGCCAGGAGTGAAGAAGAGGATGATGAGGATAACGACACTGAATATTATACATTAACTGGACTTGACATAAAATGGCAGATATATGCAGGTGTGCCAAAAATTTAACAGATATGATTTACGAGCCATCAACGGAATTAAGCATCAAAGTGAAGCGGAATATCAAGAATACTTTACAACCTTATCAACAAATTTATAAAGAACTAAAAAAATTGCCAAACAATTGCCAATAACAATGTTTTTAATGCCGAGATCCACCCCCCCACCCCCCGCCCATTTCTTTCCTCACTAACCAGCCCGGTACCGTCTGCAGCCTCTCTACCACACTCGGCCTGTCTTTTCCCTTCACTCAACCGATACGACTGCCTCGCCTGCCAGCCCTTCATCAGGCATTCTGGACGATCCCAGTCGAGAGGTCTTAAAAGAGGAGCAATATTATCTTCAGTATCATTACTGAGGCCTCTACAGAAGCTCATTATGAGGTAAGAAAAGTACACTTTATATACTGTACATTACTCTTATATACATAAGTAAAACGGCCAATTATTTTGCTCCCATAATGTTGATATTATGCGTATGATTGGGATAAATTATATACTCTTTCCAGGCGTGTTTGTGTGGGTTGATGGCGCAGTGGTGGTGGTTCTGGTATGGGCCGTGTGAGGCTAGCAGCAGACCGCAACGCCACTACTGCAATCCAGTTGACTTCCGTAACATCACACCACATTTACATGCTTCTCATTTAATCTATTTTTTATTAACACACAATACAACCGTATTAAATAACTACATACCTGTGTAGCATTTAAAGGGGTTAAATAAAGTTTTTTTCCCCTTTAATTCCCCCCCCTAATTTATGATACACTATAATATTAAAGATAGTGTATTAAAGAATGTTATTCACAAGTTCTACATTCGAGGTGTCCCAGGAACCTATCCCTCGTGAATGTTGAGGTACTAGTGTATATACCGATATATATATATATATATATATATATATATATATATATATATATATATATATATATATATATATATATATATATATATATATATATATATATATATATATATATATATATATATATATCATCACAAATGAGCAAGAGATTCATCATGACTATCAAGCTCAAATAAACACAAAATCCCTATGCTGGAATTACCCCGAACAACAAGTGATTCATGGATTTTTGCAAGTAAATGCCTGAACCATACCTTAAGAAATTTAACCAACAATACTAAATTTAAGAAATGATGTAATAAAAAATCCAGAAAATCCTTATCATGTCCATCACTGAGGACTGCCTCTACCTTCCGAATTCAGAAACAAAAATAATTACTAGTGCCAGAAATACAATAATAAAAAAATAAGAATATTTCCACAACTTTTATCACCTGAATGCACAAGATTTGCAGTCTGTATACACCCATAACAAGCCTGTACTAAATTATAATAAATAGCAACATTTCAAAAGCAAACAAAGTAATATTCTTATTTTGCACATTTTACTAAACTAAACATGCATCAGTTGATATGCAGAAAATTCTTCACAAAACTTCATTCATACACTACAATCAATTTCTATGATGTACATAAAGAAAGTGCACCTACTGGCCACATCTGTCAGTGCTGATCCATTCACACCTAATCCCATTCCAAGACTCTTCAAGCCAGGAGGCAACTTTGTGGAAGATGATTCTTGTTTTTCTGTCACACGGTCCATTCGAACACTCATCTTACGGTCATAGTAAGTCTGGTTGTGGAACATTGATATGGCCTGCACTGCTTCAACAGGATGCTCAAATTCTGAAACAATAATTTGTGACGTATAAGATATGCAGAGATTATATTCACAATCAATTAATAACCACTATAATCAGACAGTACGAATACATGAACATCAGAGGTCAGTTGTATTATTAATCATCATAAGATCATTAGAGTAGTACAGAACCTACATAACTTAACAGAAGTAGAAGGGCCTGCAGATATCTGAATTGCCGTGTACAAGAAAAATTAAGAGAGGAACCTCACACTTTGTAACAATGGTGAAGGAAGTGAAAGCACTGATTCTATATAAGACTTCTAATATCCAATATATGAGGCAACATACCAACAACTCCAAATCCACGACTCTTTCCATCCTGGTCTTTGCTGATTTCAACGTTATTTACCTTGCCAGCAATCTTAAACACATCCTTCAGCATTTTATCATCAACTTTGTAGTCAAGCTGAAATACAAGAATGTGTAAAGTAGTAAACAGGTTTAGCATGAAAAGTTTCACCAATAAATTCACAACTTATTATAACACTACTGTATTTTGACAAATACAAGTTCTAAGGTGTAGGGTTAGTTTTCAACAAATTCATGAAAAACGGCTTGATATTTGAATCAAGCCACACCAAAGTTGGAGATCAAAATTATATGCACATTAAAAAAAATGTATAACACAATATACAGGTACAGGTATGTATATGGCATTGAGGACTTGTGTATATATATATGCACATACAGGTACCGTATTAGAATGGTAGATTGGGGTAACAAAGTTGAGGTGAGAAATACGTAACAAAAGGAGCAGATGTGGCAACAGTGCCAGCGAGCGAAAAGGTCCAGTCATCAGTGATGATGTAAAAAAAAAAGTAATATGTCATCACTAATGTTGGTGTACTGTACACATCAGACATGGCTGAGAGTATGCTTTGAATTCATTTGGAAAGCCAAGTGTGATAAAGCCGTAAGTTCCGGGGGGCAATGTGTGCCGCAGTACATTCCAGGTCTCTTGTTTATAGAGAGGTATCAGCTGATAGTTCCTGCTTTCCCTAACAATGTTGTCAGCACTCGCCATCTCTCAAGCACACACTAAGCATCCTCTGGGCACATAGTGATAAATGGTTTTAGGTAAATATATGTAATTTTCTCCATCCTTTTTTATGTAAAATGCACAATTGCACATACAACCCTACATACAGAATGTGGAAAAATAATAATCATAAAGTCAAAAATATAATAAGAGAATAAACTTTCTTCATGTGTTTAGAGTTCATGCTGAGCGGGGGAGGGTGGGTGAGGAATCTCACCTGCCTCCCATGTGTACTGAAATGATCGATATATTTCATCATCCATCAGCCAAATGGCAATACTGTACTTGTATTGTACAGTATTTTCTTGTTTTACTTTTGTGATAATAATTTTTATTTATTCCTCACATGATAAAAATTTATTTGTATACTGTATATTATTTTATCTAATTCCTCAAGGAATTGGTAACTGGCAGGAATTCAGTTTCAAAGTTGGTAACACTGTTCATAACATCAACTGTTGTGGTGATGGTCACAGCCAAGACACATTGGTGTGAATCTGATGTCTTACTACAAATTATGTCTAGGCTTATCCTTAGTATTTCTCAAAAGCTAGAGTTGAATTATTGTATTCAAGAGATGTGAAAATCTCTGGCTATTTTACCCCAAATTTCAGGGTTTGAACTATATATGAGATGGGATTATATACAAGTACATACAGTACTCTCTATGCCAATTCATATACTGTATTTAGAAAACAGACAAGGAAGTTCTACATTAACTATTCATATAATGGGCAAATTGATTAAGTAAAAAATTTAGAAGGAAAGTTAAAAATTAATTACTTACATTTGCAACAAAAACTTTGCTGACAAGTGGCCCAGTGATCCCAAGTGACTCTAAAAACACTGTTGAAAGACCATAAGTGTTTCCGTACTTATTAGAAGGAGGTCCACCTAAATCTGCACCACGGGCAAAGTCACGTCCTCCTCGCATATCAGATTTCATGATACGTGTGTGGCGTTCTCTATCGGAATCAAAGTCCTGACGAGAAGGTCCGCTCTGTGTAATAAAAATCATATTAATATTTACTTAAAATATGTACCAACATACAGTATTCACTTTCAGAACCTTCCAATTGCACAAAATTATTTAACAAAAGGCCCTTAACCTATCCTTTCAGTTCAGGTATAGTATCAACAAACACCAGCTCCAAGTACTGTATAATCAATCGCTCACTAAATTAACAGGGAACAACAAAATAATTGACAAGTTGCTCTTAAAAAAATTTGAGGCATCTCTTTGCAGACAAATTTCTGAGAAAAAAATAATAATAAATATATATAAAAAAAAATAATTCCTGCAATTTACAAATTCCACTTTCAAATAAACTTGCATAATAGACAAACGAGTTTTGAAGGTGGGACACTTAACTAATGTAAATTACTTTAGTCACCCTGATCTTCAGTTATTCAAATCATATTTTACATCATATTTTGATGGACTTGTTTATTAGATATATTAGGCTACAATATGTACAGTGAGAAAAAGAATTATCTTCCCAGCTTTGGCTGAAGTATAATGAAACCTGACTACCCAACACAGCAAATGTCACTAGCAGCCCCTTTCCAAGATACCACAGGCCTGCCAACTGTTTAAGGGTTCCACACACGTGTTGAATGACTCCACCTTTGTGATATATTCATCAAAATCCCAACAAGAAACTTCATTCTCTCACTGTACAGTACTAAGCATGGTCAGCTTCAAATATTAACTGAAAGCCAACATTTGAAATTAGTCATTAAATGCAACAGATCCTACACACCAGTAAAGCAGATACTTTTACTCCAAAACACCATGAGCTAACTTTTCTTATAGTAATTTATTTTTACAAAACAGATATTCACCAAATCATAATATACATGATTACAAATGTCCCTTTAATCCAGTGTGAATTAGAGAAAAAAAAAAAACCTTCCCTGATCATCTTCATAACATACATTAAAAGTTAACTGGAAGGGTACTTAGGCTGTTATAAAAGATTTGTCGATTTAATACACTATAATAAAATTCTAATTCACTAAACTTGTACACTTTTATTCATCATACCCACTGTAAATGCACCATATTTACTTAATTTACCATGCTCACTATAGCTGCTCCATGAAATGCACTATAATTCTAAGAACAATAAGTTTATCACTACATGATAAAAATTAACTCCAAAGCGCATTCCACCCACTTATATATATATGCATTATGTTCAACTTATTCATTTGTATTAAAAGTGCAATAAACCCTAAGCAAAACTATGACTGTTCTTGGTAAACTATGTAGGCACACCAAACATAATAGGTGAATCATGAATAGCTCCATGCACATCAATAAGACTCCAGGCAGACCATAAAAGGTTCCAGTAAATTATGTTGTAGGTGCATTTTGAGTGCTCCAAATACACTGTACAGTGTACAAATGTACAAATGGTGCTTTAGGTGCATGATGCATACTGGTTCCACTAAGGATTTGTTTGACATCGTTGAAGGGTTCATTTCTTTAACTCCTCTCCAAAATTTCTCCATTTGTTTAAACCATCCCTACAATCATTATGTCTTAACCTATACTGCATACAATGGGGAAAAAGTTACCTTTTCATACATTTTAGTTCTATTTCCCCACAAAAGGCCTTTCCTTTTTAGTATGTGCTCGTACTGTATCTTCAACGTATCCTCCACAAACAAGTATTATACGGACATAAATATTCACGTAATAATAGCCAACTAGTATACAGTATTTATATATTCAAATCTTAGCCCTAGCCTATTATTAAACAAATATAACTTAAATTACATGCTCAAGGCTCCTTTTTCTTCCTCACGGCTGGTCATGTATGACAAATTCCTAATTCATTTACCACCTTCACGTTGAATACACTTCAAAAAATAAAGTGATTGGCACAACTGGAAGATAAAGAGTAGAAGGGAAGCTCCCACATATACTGTGCACCCTATAACAATCAAACCATTCAGTAATAACAAATCCACTTCAAATTCTTCTTCTGAATGTCTTTATCTGGTCTCTGATTATAATTCATTGTCTCATATCAGTTACAAATATCTGTTAAAATCCTAGCTTCAGTCACTTATGGGAATAAAAACTTTGTTTAGCACATGCATTTTGTTTTTTGCAATGACAAACAATATCAAGATTCAAATGAGAAGCACGGCAAGCCTATGATTACTTATCAAAACCCGTCTTCATTCTCCATTTCCCAAGGTTAGTTCAAAGCTAGATTCATTACATCTTCTTCAGGTTTCACTTATGGGTTAGAAACACACTGAATATGTACAGTATGCTGTTTCAAAGTAGCTTAGTACAAGAAATAACCAGAGATCTTAATTTGACTCGAAAGTCACTGCGTTTTCTTCCAGGTAATGTATATTTTTTTTTTGTAAGGGTTAAACTTGACAGTACAACACTTTTCTTAAATACAGTCAGTGTGAGTAATGAAGAGAAAATCTCCCCTTCTATCTTCACATTACCTTTAATCAGATCTGCAATCCCCCCCAGGTCAATGACCCTGTATCATGCGAGATGCATTGATACGGGGAATCATTCAAATTTGCCTTGCACTGAAGGTTAGGGGTATAGAAGTCTTGCACTGCAACACTGCAGTTTCAACCCTTTTGTGCAAATCATACATTTTATTTTTTTTTTATTTCTTGCTTCCAATTCCAAAGGAGCTTTGACAATGTTATCTTGCTCTCATGGTCAAGTGATTCGTAAGAAAATTTAAAATTTTAAGGTTTGGTGAGCAGTTCTTTGATTAGACCAATTTGTCTGGCTTTTCTGTCTGTCAAACTTGCCAAGTCACTCAAGCCTTTTGTTTTTCAGAGATCTAACCAATTATTGTACAGTATATAAATCAAAATGCAGCCATGCATTTTTTTTATAACCTAGTTGTGGGTAGGTGTATATCTGTATGAACATACATTACCTACAAGTCATTACACTTGTAGATCAATTCCAGTCTATTAATAGCCAAGAGAAAAGTATGATTTTCTTAAATGTTCCATCCCAAGCAGAGAAGAGAGGGCAACAATTATTGTAATTCATGATAAAAATAAAAATATTTCAACTTCTTCACTGAAGACAAGAATTCCAAAATATTAGTCCCTAACCTATACTCTACTCGATTAACAAGCCAAAACTTGACATGAAAAGAAACTTCCAAGCTTATCAATGCATCTGGCAAACTCCACCAGGATCAAGCCTAACAGACTACAAGACAAATTAAGCATACATGCTCAACATGCACTATGAATCAAACGTGAAGGAGTGATCCTAAAATTTATGGGTTGAAAACTCAAGTAAACCTAAAATACTAGTAGCTGGGATAAATCAAATCCAAGTTAAACTTTCTCATTGCAGCACCATTCTTTAAAAAGGGATATATACAAACATAATTCATTACTTTAACTTGGAGAGTAAAAGCATGTTATGCTGCACAATATCATGTGCACCACACTAATCTCTTCAACCACAGCCAAAGACTGTCATTCCAGACTTCAATCTCAGTTCTAGCCACCATCATAAAACTGGAAGGAAAGAGGTTATCCATGATACCTAGTCCAGGCTCTGCCATAAATTGGATTAAAAAAATATTCCTGCAATATGACCACATGCCTGGACCTGGCTACTAGTAAAAATAATGACACCTCAATATAGGAAAAGTTTAGCATAAACTCCAAGTGCTCAATGCCACTCTCTCCAAGGGGTTACCCATACTGCCAAGCTGTTTTATGACAGCCAGGGTGAACTTGAGGTAAAATCAATACTGTACACTGTATGGTGAAACAACACACTGTGTTTGTTAACCCAAAGTAATAAAACACCACTTTAATTAAGGTCATTAATATGCATTGAGCAACATGAAAACCACCATCAAATTCACATTCCATGTGACACAAAAACTAGCGACTGTGGTTCCCACCTATAACCGTTTATGGTGCAATGGAAATGAGACACGATACACTTAGCTCCTACCAGGAATATAACAAATAGAAAAGTACTTGCTCAGCTAAGAACAATGGCAACTGCAATCAAGGTTGAAGTCTGGAAGGACAGTCTTTTTTAAACAAACAAGCATGGTGTAAACAGCATTATGTGACAGCACAGCTTGCTACCTACTGGCCTGAAGTGGTGATAACTTACAAATGTTCCTTCAATGGGAATATCGTTTTAACACATCTCTAAATGACCCTTTCATTAGTCCCAACCACCAATATACTGTATATAGTTAACCTGGGTTTCCATCCAATGGATTTTGTGGGGTAACAGACAGGCACCTCAGGGAACTTGGCCACAAAAGTGGTTCTCAAATTCATTCTAAAATTCAGAACCCTGTGAGTAAGGCAAGTTGCATATAAATATTGGCAAGCTTTCATTACCAAAAATGAAGAGAAAGAAAGAAGAAAATATAAAACATACGCCAACTAAGATTCATTTTTCTTCGAATAGACCCAACCAACAAGTATTAATGTGTGCAAACTCTTTTAAAAGTAGAAATGAACATCAGATACAATAATCAAAGTTAGTGAAATATATTTTTATGAACAATATGAAGTTCAGGTTATTCATATTTGAGCAAAATATTGTAATACAGAGCTTGTGCTTCCAAACTGTTTACAACAAAACTATGACTTGGCAAATCACTGAGAACCATAACTTACTAATTACAACATAAAAGAATGAAAGACAAATTAAAGAGACCATGAAGATCCTGGTTAAAAGCTCATTACATAATGTTTGTGAATACTTAATGCGCATTTATGAACATGTGAACAATGACTACTTTTCATTCCAATATCACATTAAATAATCAGCAAATATAATTATGCACATAATTCATTAAAAAATAAGAAATAATTTTATCACAATTTCTTAACATTCAAAAACTAATTTGAACCGAGAAAAAACAGATTAACCACCTAATCTTCGAAACTACTGTTGAGGTCTGTGTTGCCTGTACTTGCTGTCACTACTCTATTTAATACTTTCTAAGTAATGCACATTAAGTATTTTTTCCCAACAAAGTGAGGTTGCTTCTTTTAAGATTCTCCAATGAAAAAAATTTAAACTGTCAATCTTCTTCCTCCCACTTCGCCCCTCTTCCCAAATTTTGAGCTGTTCTCTCCAATTACTAATTTAAGACTTCCATTTCCAGGAAACTTTGTTGTGCCTTGCAAATTCAAGATTTCAGCTAGTGTTTCATATTTGAATTCCTTGCAAAACTTAGTCACTTCTCTCTTAGTTTTCCACAAACTTCATTTTCAAGCTTATCTTTTACCATTCAATTTCCAAAGTCTTAAATATCTTATTCAAAATTCAAGGATTCTGGTCCAGTGTTTCATCTTTTCATAGTTGCTTCTTGCTGGAATGAAAAACACAGATCTGACCGAGTTCTTAATTCTCCTGTGTGGTGGTTAAGTCCAATGCAAAGGTCCTTACGACCTATGCTCTCTTGTGTTCCTTATCTGAATAACTGGATCACCATAATGACAATCCACCCATTGCTTTGTCTGGCATGGGGGGTCCATAGGTTGTTGCTCAACATTTTCATTAACCATTCCATCAAACTTTAAAGAACTTAAAAGACTTTTCATATAACAGCATATATCTTTAAGATGAAAAACCTTTCCTTCTCAATATTTGGCGAAACATCCCCACCAAAACCTTTGCTCTCACTAATGTGGCCTCTCAGTATCAGGAAGGCAAATTAATGTCCCTTTACCCTGTCTTGACTAAGGGTACTACAGTAATTAGTCATTTTGCTGTGGTTTATAACAATACAAAACATTTATTCATTCATTTACTCCATTCATTTCCTGAACTGAACATTTAAACCTTTTGGGTTTACTCTGATGTTTAAATGGAGTAATTTCCTTTGAAGTTAAGTTTTGAGTCATAATTCATAGTTTAAAGATGATCTATCATTTGACGATCATTCAAGACTTTAAAAAACAAGGCAAATTCAAATAATTGCATGTTAGAACTTCTGATGCAACATATCAAATTTGCTTGCTGGCACCACTCAAGGCATTGCACATGGGTCTAAATTGATCAGCTACCTTTTGCGATCTTGGCTACTCCATCCATACGACAAAAATCACGCAGAGGAATTTCTATCATTTAGATCTTGAACAGAGAATGAGACATGCTGGATTGCCAAGGTTAAGTATATTGGCTGTAAAAGCTTTACAAGTTATAAATTAAGTCTTCCTTTTCTCATTATTATATATTTTTTTGAAACTGTAATAGTCATTTTCCAGGTTCCATCTTCACATCAAACTAACATCTCCATTTTTTTCTCATTTGCCTCCCCGATAAATGAGGCATCCATCATAGACCAGCTGTCAGGAAGAAAAACTGCTTTGAAGTACGAGAGAAACTTTTCTTCCTCACATAAACTGGTGTATGATGGGAATACACTTTCTCCCCTGTAGTGAACCGAGCTCTACTCGGCTACCATTCCTTTGATTGAAGCTCTCTTGCTTGTTGTCACTTGATGGTTATGTGGTCTGGGTAGCATGCGGTGGAGCATGCCCAGTACCCTCTCATCCCACACATGCACATTAAAATTTATTTCTCCTTTCCCTTACATTTTCAACTGAAATATCTCCAACATAAGTCCTAAGTGAATGTTATAGGCATCTGCCATAGACCAGTGTAAGTGAGGAAGAAAACAGGATTTCATACTTCAAATTATTTTTCTTCTTCCTTACCATTCTGCTTCCGAGCCGAATCTGCGCAAGATGGGCAAGTGGTAAGTCATCTGCTTTCTGCAAAGATTTAGATGCATTACATTTTGATATTCTCACTAGTTGTAGTGTTCACACTACAATACGAAGCAAAAGTTTCAGTATATCTGTGCTGCTTAAAACCAGCCAGCACCTTTAATACCTATGTATAAATCACTTCCCATTTATGGTAAAACAAATATAATATATGCAAATAATATGTAATGCCAAAGAATTCCTACCTATCCATAAAAAACATTTGAAATAATAAATTTTCCCCAATGAGTGAGTCATTTATCAATAAAAATTAAGTTTATTCATCTATTAAAACTTAAATCATTTCCCCCCCCCCCCAAAAAAAACGTGGAAAAACATGTATCACCAAAATCATAATATTTCTCACGAACCTTAAAAATAAAATGGTTATATCTTTAAAAGAGCTAATAATTAGAATAAAAATTGATAACACTATGTTGCCTTCGATGAAAGGTCAATAAATGACAATGCATCTGATTAAATATATGTTGCATGTTAAAGACACCATAAATGACAAGAGAAACAACATGCTTGATCTATCACATCCTCACACTCTGTAGTCCTTCTAGTTTGTTAATAACTACTAACATTTTTGTGTGGTCTGGTATAAATTTGCCAGTTTTCACATTGCCCATGTTTTTATGCAAACTCACTTTGGGAACCAAAGTTTATATTACACTTTGTTTACATTAAGTGCATTACAGTATTTTTGTTTAAGTTGTATGTAATGTTGGGTCTTGTACACAGTGAGTATAGTGTTCTCACTAAAATGGTACAAACTTGAGATAGTCTACATGCATTAACTAAGTCCAAGTACAGGTACCAAAAAGAAATATTTACAGGATATGAATGTGATTATTCTTTAGCAAAAACCATAAATTCAAATTGGAAAGGAACCTTAAGGATAGTTAGGGAAATTTCTCATATGATCCAATGAAGAACAGAACTGTATAATTCACACCTACTCTCAAGAATAGAAATGAAATATACTACTCATATCATGTACTGTATATCAACTAACTACAAAGCATGGTAGCTCATGCACATGCACCTTCAAATACACAAATATATACTGTACAAGGTTTTCTAAACATCTGTATATACTATCTGTACACTTTATATTTTCATTGGTAACTTAAGACAGGGGTGCTGAGAGCTGGCCAGGTACTGGGAAATATATATTTATGGGCCCAATTTTGGCCTTTAAATGGTTTTGAACCACAATCCCCCTTTTCCCGGAGATTAATCCTGGCTTCCCCGCCCACTCTCGGCAGCCCAGATTTATTTCCATATTATAGTATACAGTATAGGTATACACTGATGTGTGTTGGGTAACTTGGGTTACCTTAGACAAATCACACTCATGAGGCAAGTTCTTGGTATATGGCAATTTTTAGTGGGATTAACTTTAGTCACATGGGGTTGTTAAATACAAAGCATATCAACCCTATCTGTGTACAGAATATTTATAGTCATATCAAAACAAAATCAATTAATATTTTCATTAGCTAACTCATACTTTGCTAAAAAAAAAAAAAAATCTCAAAGAAGAATTACTTCAGACCTAGAATGTGTTACTGTGAAGAATTACTTGAAAATTTTACACCTTGCACAATAACAGTAAAGTAACAAACCAGTCACTAATGGCCAATCAAATAACTACACAAACCCAATTAACCTTAAGAGATCATTAATTAAAGCCGAATCCAGGAAAGCTTCATGTAAAGATAAAAACACCCCCAACTGTGGCTTAAGGCCATACCTTGCAAATGATAACTACAGCAAAACCATCTTGACACAGGCACACACACCACTCATTCATGTACACTATTACAGTGGTCCCTCGGTTAACGAATTACCTTCCATAAGAATCTTCATTTCGGTTAACGAACAAAACTTCGATTAACGAAATCCTTACGACAAACACATTTTGTTGTGAGCATCAGCTGAACAGCTGATGGGCTAATCTGCTAATTCAGTAATCTGTTCTATGTTTACATTCGTTTCCAGTGGAGTAAATATCAAGAAAGTTGTGCCCTTTAATATTTTTGCAACTTTTATAGGTTCATAACAAGTAACAAACACAGCAGCTTCGTTTTTCTTATTTCATAGTTTTATTTTATATTTTCTTTATTTCTAAGCTACAGTGTTTGTATAGAGTGGAATAAGTGTTAAAGAAGTTCGTTTTTCTGAGACACAAATTTGCGAGGTCTGTCTGTAGCACCTTACATGGGGGGATTTATTGGGGATCCAATGTGTTTTATCTAACTGGAAAACTCTTTATCCGGCACCTCTCAATCCCTGTAGGTGCTCGATAACTGGGATTCTACTGTACATGGTTGTAGCTTTTTTTTTAATTATAGCTTAATTGCACCAACATCTTTAGCAATTACCTTTGCCACCAAATTTATATTTCTAATTCAACTATCACCTGATTTATGGCTGTTAAACCATTTTTTGACTGCAATGTGTACTTTAACCCTTTCGTTGCATTCCCGCACTTGCCACTTTATTCTGGCTACTGCCAGATGCTTTTATTCAGCTTAGGGTAACCTCCTGCAGCCAAAGGGTTAAAAACAAAAGGAGGGAAAGGGGGGCAAAAAATGGAATGATTACACAAGAACTTTTTTTTATTTAAATGGACAATATTGCATTTTAGAGCATGGTCACTGCTATTCAATACTGTTATGTCAGCTTAAGATTTTGTGACTATAAAAAAATATAAAATATCCCCAAGTGATCTTTACTGGAATTATTTTACCTGTAGTACAAATGTATTAGATGATAAAATTTTACTTAAATTCTGGTTTTACCCAACAGCCGCCATCAGGTAACAACAGCTAACCCACTTAAGTGTGGAAAATGATCACAAAAACTGATGACTCGGTATGTCATTCTTGGTCTACCTTAGCTCACCTCCCTTCCACATTTAGATTTATGCACTTCTTAACCCACTTGGTCTCCTCCATTTTCTCCACACGCCCAAACCGTCTCACTGTATCAACCTATCTTAAAGCTAAACTTCACTAATACAGGTACTGTACTCTCATTACCCAATCGTCCTCTTAGCTTTGAACAGGGTTTTCCGATCTTCCAAGTGTCACATTACACATACACCCTACCATTCTCATTTTATCTCACTCAAAGTTTGCACATTTCTCAATGTAATACAGCCATCAAATGTTGCTTCTATGACCTCTATAGCAAGATGAAAATGAGAGGCAACTCAATAAGTATAGAAGGAAATTTTAAACTCAGGAAAGCAGAGAAACAAGTGCAACATGAAAACATTATTAAACAAATGAAAATAATTATCAGAAAGATTTTATGAACATCAGCATGACTAACCACCAAGAAGTGTGCTCAAGTGTAATTCACTTTTGCAAATTTAGCAGTAAACATAGACACTGAACACATTAATAGTGGCTAGATTTATATATTGTCAAGGTCATGCATTACTACACTTGCAAAGTATATTTGGAAAAGGAGTCATAGCTAATTTTTTGTCCATCACAGGAAGTGAAATCCTTTTCCTATTATGTCCTTCCTTTCCATTCTAGCTAAATTATCCTTAAAGTTTTAGGGCCATACAACTGTTACATAATCAAAGAGCCTTACCTCTTTTACAACTAGCTTGCGTCCCTTCAACTCATATCTGTGCATAATCTCCACAGCCTTTGACACAAGCTCTACAGACTCGAACTCGATGACTGCACACCCTCTGGGACGATTGTTCTCATCATTGAACATTTCCACATATGCCACCTCACCAACTGTTTCAATAACACATTTGTTAATAATTACAGTACTCTTCAAAAATGAGTGATATAAATAATGTACCGTATATTGCGGCCTATAAGTCAACTTTTGAAGTTCAATTTTTTTTTAACTAGGAGTCATCTTATACAGGAGGTATAAAATGTCAACCTCTAAGTATGGCTCCACCATTATCATCAGACTTTAGCTTTACTGGTAGGTCTTAGTCACTCAGTACTGGGTTTCAACTTAATTTCCACACTCACAAACAAGTTTTACATAACTTTAGCATTTTTCCAGAAGGGTAACCATTACTGAATTCAGCCTACGGTCAGTGTTTACACAAGTTACTCTTCTGGAAATATGCTAGTTATATAAAACTTGTTTTGGTGCTGGAAATTAAGTTGCAAGCAATTACTGAGTGACTGAGGCCTACCGGTGAAAACACTGATGTCAGGCTGAGCTTGCCCTCCTGTCATGTTCAGCCAACACCAAGAACGTAGCTTTCAAATCAGAAACTTAGGGGGTCGACTTACTGTACAACCCAAGTATAGTCCTACATCAACAATTCCAGATGAAATAATTGGTCTTATATGCCAGGTCGACTTATATGCCGCAATGGAAATTTAAATCTTCAAAGTACATTTGATGTATATTGTAATGATAAATTCATAAAATTACAATAGAAAGTCTTACCTTCTTTGCGAAAAAGATCTTTCAAGTCTTGCCACTTATACTCGTAGGGAATGTTCGATACATAAATGCGAGTATCTGCTGAACCACGTTTTGAGCCGCCCCTGGAAACATACATAGTACTGTACTGGTGAAAATAATAATGAAAATTCAAAGAAAATTATAAAATCATTGATATTAAATAAAGTAAAATACAAGAGGGCTACCAATTTGTAGAATAGGTTGGGACCAAGCACATTTTCTTGAACTGGTTTTCTCAAAATTGGTAAAAATAAGTTAACTTCATTTTTCTTTTAATTTGCATAATAATCTTTAGGAAAGTTCTCATAAAGAGAGCACGAACACGAACAAATTCTGAGACGTAAACTAGTCACTGCGTGACGTCACACTGCGTGGTGGTGGCTACTGAAAAAAGCAAACCCAAACCTGTTCGGAAATGTATGTACAGTCAGCCAAAGATGCACCGACCCCACCCTGGGTCTCGTGCTCACAATTTTACCTGGCAAGACTTGGTAAAGGAAGGCTGTATGTGAAGGTGATTGTGATTGGTGGATCTGTCTTTGACTGTATCACTGTCAAGATAATTATTAAACAAACCAAAGGTAGAATTTTTATAATAAACTATTCATTGTTATTTAAGGTCATGGGAAGTTTAAATTTTTTTTGTACATGTGCTTAAATAATGAAGAAAATTATATTAATGAATTGGCAACTCAACTACAACCACAGCTGCCATCGCCACTCACGAAAACAACGCCGTCTTGTCTCCTCTTGCTTTAATATTCTACATATTATTAATGAATTGTATTGTTCATTTCACATATATAAACATTAATTCAATCAAACACATATTCAATAATAAACAATAATGAATCTTTTGTACATATTCTTAAGATAAATGACTATGTTTCCTTGAGTGCGCACGTATACATTGGCGTTCCACTATCAGTCTCACTTTTTTCTTTAACATCAGTGGTTACTTCTACTGTACATTAAATAACATTAATTAAAACATACATATTTTTTACATTAAATTTACTACAAGAACCACCAGGGTCATATTTTCTTCAGTATCAGGTGGATAACTGACATTATAGATGTAAACACTGACAACAATGCCATCTCTTATCCTCTTGTGTGTTTTACTATTCTATGTATTATTAATGAATTGTATTGTTCATTTCACATACTATATAAAGATTAATTCAATCAAATACATATTCAGTATAAACAATAATGAATCTTTTGTACATATTCTTAAAAAGATTAATGACGCAGTATCCTTATATGCCCACATATATGTTGGTGTTCCCAATCCATCTTTTTTTTTCATTGCCATTAGTGGTTAGCAACTTCTATTGTTCCATCTATTAACATTACTTAAAACATATATAATCATTTTTTTTAATTAATTTTACTACAGCTACAACCAGGGACTCAATTTTGTCATTTGCTCGTGTAGAACTATCGTCCCGGACTCCCGGCTGTAAACACAAACGAAAACAATGGCGTCCCATCTCCCCTTGTGTGACCATATTATTATTCATTTATATTGTATAAGGTGCATTCAGAAACATTATTTTAAGACTACAGTTTGCAATTTTCATTAATTGTATTGTTTTGGTTGGAAAAGAGGGTAAAAAGCCACACAAAAGATATGAAAAGGTCACATTTGGGAACACATCTCATTATTATTATTATTATTATTATTAATTTATTTGAATGGTAATTAATGATTCACGATATGATGATTCACCTTAAACTACAATATTGGAGAACACATTACCGTCGTTATTCAAGGCTTTACTGTAAACTACTTTCTATGTAGGCCTACCCAGTATGTCAACTACTGAAATTTGATTTTTTTTTCAATGTCTCGTAAAATTTTTGAAGGGCTAGTAACTATTCGGTTCCATTAGCCCAGCTGCCTACCTGAAAATTTTTTTTAATTTCCACCCAAGAAGTGTCATGTTGTATAGCAGTGAAATGAGTGGTTCCAGAAGATGACATTAATGAGATTCAGAAAGCTGAAGTGAGAATAAGGAAAAGCCAATTTCAATTTAGGTTTCTTTCATGGCAAATCCAGATTCTTCTTACCTTGATCGCTCTGTTCTCCTTCCACGGTCCATGCGACGATTGCGATCGCCACGATCACCACCGCGATCATTTTCCCCATCCATGTCTCGACTGTCATCATCAACTGGTGAACGGGATCTGTGGACACAGCCAACATAATCCTCATTAAATACAGTAAATACAATAATGGCTTAAAATGTAAAGCTAAAGCTTTAACATATAAATTTGCCTCCCAAAACTTATTTCGTAGGAGCATATTACAAAACTTTTATGAATACAGGAAAACCTCCGAAAAATGACGGTTCTAATGACAATTCATATTTTAAACCCTGGTTAATTTAGTACCCATCAATTTACACCGTTATTTTATTCATATTTACGATGAAAATAGAAAAAATAAATACATTTACATCTTGTATACGTAATACTTAACTAAATCCTAGCTTTTTTTCAAATTATAGGAGGTTTTGGGTGGGGCGTTTTCCGACAAAAATTATGGCCAAGCGTATACAAAATACACACAAAATAAAAACAAGCATATACTGTAAACCTAACCTGACCTAACCTAACCTAGCTTTCACCATAGGATGGAATCACTTATTTCTTACCTTATTGGCCTGGTTCTGGTTTGTCATTGGATTCTGAGATTAGTACAAGTTATCACAATGTCACATATGTTGGTCTTGGCGATATTTACACTCGTTCTTACACTTAGGACACTTTACAAGTACTGATGTCGGGAGAACACCATGATCTAAAAAATTATATTGCGTGTTCGTTTTTTTTCCAAAAACATGCAATTATCTCCATATAATTGAAGTGACACCCATCGCAGACTTCCATAGTTGCAAATGAATTTGAATTTCGAAATGAGACCCAAAATAAAATTTACATAAGAACATAAGGAGTCTGCAATAGGCCAGTTGGCCTGTGCATGGCAGCTCCTGTAGAGAGTTACTACCACTCTCTATCATCCATGAATCTATCTAGCCTCCTTTTAAAGCTTTCCAGCATTCCAGCACTTACTACAAAGTTGCTAAGCTTGTTCCACTCGTCCACCACCCTATTTGTGAACCAGTTTCTTCCTATCTCCCTCCTAAACCTAAATTTATCCAACTTAAATCCGTTGCTACGAGCCCTATCCTGCTCGGATATTATAAGAACTTTATCTATATCGCCTTTATTGATTCCTTTTACCCACTTAAATACTTCTATCATATCTCCCCACACTCTTCGTCTTTCTAGGGAATGCAAGTTTAGTTTCTTTAACCTATCCTGATATGGAAGGTTTCTAAGTCCCAGAATCATTTTCGTCATTGTTCGCTGCGCCGACTCCATAATGAAGGTGCGGCCTGACTAGCGCAGATATAGTTGCAATAAGACCTCTGCACTCTTGTTACTTACACTTCTAGATATAAAACCCAATACTCTGTTAGCCTTATTTCGAACATTAACGCACGGTTTTCTAGGCCGTAGGTCCGGGCTTACAAGTACCCCTAAATCTCTTTCACAAGTCGACTTCTCTAGGTTGATGTTGTTCAGGCTGTATACATTGACAGTATTTGTTCTTCCAATATTAAGTACGCTGAACTTGCTGGTGTTGAATTTCATATGCCATCTGATTGGGCCAAAAATACCGTGAATCAAACCACATATCATTTTAATTGGTGGCAAAAAAAGCTTTTTATTGGTCACGTGACATGTAGGGGAATGTGTGCTCATGACGATTTATGAAGGGAACACGCAGAGTGGGAGGTCAGGTAGGCGATAATGGTGGAAGATTAATGGAAGAAAATAAGAGAAACATTTGGGATGCGCTATCTCTGTTATTATATGCTTGCGACGGTAATGTAATAGAAGAAAATTATCTTAAAATTAGACATCTTTTTCGGAGATGATAATAGATTTGGGGTAGGAAGGTTGTGTGCACTAATGTAAAAATACCTTTCAGTGAACCAAGAGACATAAAACATATCTCGAACTCATACCTTAACCTCTAGTCAGCTACTTGTTTGAAGCATGCAATGTGGGCCGAGTTGTAATGCCTGGGCCAAGGGTGGAAATGGGCCGAGTTGGAGGTACACCCTCTGAGTCTCGGAGGGGGGTGGAGGGGGGGGGGTACAGCAATACTTAAACTAGTGGTGTTCAGGGGTACAGCAGGTCCTAAACCTAAGGACGCCAAAGCTGCATACACTTTATAACTCTCCCGTAACATAGATATGGGACTGTGGTTAATACATGCTGCTATCTGAACTTGATGCAGCATTACAGTTCGCGCTCATCAGCTCAATGTCCATCACAACTTTTCACAAAAACATTATACAAAAAATCACTCCCGTGACCCGCCACTTATACTTCTCCCAAATCCTTAATATTCGAAGGAGCATGCCGTCCCCATTACATACTTATATTAATTACCTATATTAATTTAAAGTCATTAATATTGCCTTTTTAATACATTCGTACAAAACCTACGCCTCCTTACATTTGCTATATGCAGAGCATCCACTATATTGTTGTTTATATAACCATTATTGCCTCACGAGTATGAAATAACACTACCAACAGAGTTTTTACAGCCTTACCTGTCACGACCTTCCTTTTTGTATCCAGATTCGTCAGCCATATCCATGATGTTTCTAGATAAAATTAGGAACAATCCTTAGCTCCAACTGATCAAGTATGGCGGCGTAAGCTTGGCCGTGTTGGCGTCAACAAGCATGTAGCATTCGTGTCCCCATCCTTTATTTGACTTTATCTTGCCTGTGTGTAAAAAACATTAGTAGATATATTTCAAGATTTTACACAATAGCAATCAAGTATTTATCTATTAATCTAAATTAAAACTAAACAGCGGATACAAATCTAACCCTGGTAAAATAATTTTCAAATGGTTTATTTTAACAAAGTCAATCCTAAGGTCACGAACACGCTCATTGCCAAACACCTGCAACCGGCAAACAGTACACACATCAAAGGTTAACGTTTAGTGCAACAATCCTTTCATTCTTAGTGCAGCATATATAAGTGCATATATATTAAACATTCATTGTATATATGGTAATATGGTTATCACTGTAGAGAGTACCATGTTCCCCCAAAAATGTTAGAGGTTAATGTGTCAGCGTCATAAATACAAGTTATTAAGAACATTTATATCCTGAAATTCATTTTACACAAACACATTACCTGTACTTCAACACCAGTAATGGTGTTCAAAAAATGATCTGATGGCAATAAAGGAAGCGGAAAAGGCTTATTTACATAAATAATTAAACACGGGTCTTGTTTGTATAAACCACGAAGCAGCGACGGCATCTTTTTGCTGCCTAATGAGATGAGAATCGAATAACGCATTAGCTGTTCAAAAATGGTGAAAGCGTTTATATAATAATAATTGATATTCAATCAATTTCACCAAGGACAGCTGACAAAACCTAAGCGATTTGTTTCCAGTAGAGTCATTTAAGAACTCTACTGGAAACAAGACTGTTGGGCCAGGTGCAAGGCCAACAAGCTGACAGTGGTGCTTGAAAAAAATGGCACAGTTGTCAAACTAGGAAAAAATAGCACAATATTTATAAATGGTTCACAGGGTCGGTAGATTTGTAGAATCTGGTTGTTATATAAAGTTTTTTTTTATCCTCTTCACCACTGATCGGCTCGTTAGCCGCTTGGGCGCTCGGTCACGTCTCTGTTACGCACCGTTGGCAAGTACTGGGGATGCACCGGCTCCTGAGTGTACCTGAACCCGCTCCAGTGTTGGTCAAGTTTTGTCTTGAAAGAGCTCACACTCGGTGCCGTCACAACACTCTCTGGTAGATTGTTCCAAGAGTTTACAACTCTCACTCCGAAAAAGTTTGCCCTCACAGTTTTCGGGACTTGTGGCTTCTTCAATCTTGAGCTGTGAGTCCTAGGCTAGCCAGACGTCCTACGTCCTGCTTTTGAGCACTCTGTCCTCCGTCCTGCGCCACCTCAAGCAGGACGTTAATTTGTCCTTCTCTTTTGGGCCTGTATAAAAAGAATTATACAAATTACCTTACGTATACTAAAACAGTGGGAACTGAAGGCCACGTTGGTAAGTAGGCTACTTCCTTTAGTTTGTGAAGTAAGTTAATTTGATTAGCACACAGTATGTTGTCCCAGCAGGAGTAAAAATGAATATTCATTTCTTTCAGTTCTTTATTTATACTGTATGAATGCATGTATCATGTATGTAACATATACAGTGCGTTTAAAAAAATTGAAATTTTAGAAAACCACAAAATAGCCTTCATTACTGTTAACGCTCATAGGAGCGTTATTGGTTTGTTGCTGGAGAAATAAACCCTCAACGTTGACGCATACCATATAATTCGGTCAAAACCTGTTAAAGAACATTTCTCATATAACAAATACTGTTATCTCAGGACACATAGTATGAATAATACAATCAATATACAGTACATGGCCTGTTAACATCTTAAATATAACTCACATGTTATAACTATTGATACAGGAGACAATTGGTATAATATGATCAAATTACAGTACACAAATATACTTATTAAAGTTATTTAGAGTTTCTTAGCAGATTCTAATACTTCACGATCACTCACGTTTTAGGGTCTAGTGGTCTGAACCAACGTGTTGTCTGTCCTGTAGAAATCAGTAGACTACCCTCGAGGGCAATCTCAGCCCGGAGGCGAGGGCCATATGTTTTCGTATTGAAACACCTCAGCAGATTGGTCAGCAAATTCGTTGTCAACACTATATCTCTTATCTCACCCCCTCTCTCTCTCTCTCTCGCCTAGTTTATCTTATTATGGTTATCCCTCTCTTTCTCTCTCTCTTCTAGCTTATCTTACTGTGGCGGTAACACTCCCCCTGTCGAGCTTCGCACGAAATCACGGCATATTATTAGATTCACTCTCCCACCCCTTCCAACAGGCAGAGTTTCGTCACTGGGCGTATTAACACTGAGTCCTTTGTCTTCACTTTAACACTTCGCACCAGGCCATCTTTGCTCGGTAGAGCTTCCAGTACTCTCCCTAGCATCCACTGACTCCTGGGAAGGGGTTGTCCAGAGATGATCACGATATGCCCAGCGTGGAGATTACGGCGAGTTTTGAAGAACCTTTGTCGCTGACGAAATGTTGGGAGATATTCTTTTACCCACCTTTTCCAAAATTGGTCCGCAATGAATTGGGCATGCTTCCATCTTCGTCGGTACCCTTCTGTCATGGACCGATCGCCTCCGGTGGACAGTGTCTCCGGGTTCATCCGTAGTATGTGGAGCGGCGTTAGTGCTTCTAGATCCTTTGGGTCGTCAGACACTGGGGTGATGGGCCTTCCGTTGATGATCTCTTCTACAGCACAGAACACAGTGCTGAGGCGTTCATCGTCTAGTGTCTGGGTGCCCACCACTCCCTGGAGGACCTTCCTTACAGTGCGGATTTGCCGCTCACACACTCCTCCCATGTGAGAAGCTGTCGGGGGGTTGAACTGCCATTCTATCTGTTTCTGTAGAAGGGCATTCCCGACCTTGTCACTGTTGTTCCAGCCGTTCACCGCCTCTCGTAACTCTCGGTTAGCTCCAATCATGTTGGTTCCCCTGTCAGACCGAACACGCTTGGGAGGTCCCCTGCGGCAGGTGAATCTTGTTAGGGCATTGAGGAACGAGTCTGTGTCTAGTGAGGTGAGGACTTCTAGGTGTATGGCTCTGGTGGTCAGGCAGGTGAATAAGCATCCCCATCTCTTCGCCCGGGCTCCTCCTTGTTTAACCAAAAAAGGGCTGAAGCAATCAATTCCAGTGTAGGTGAACGGCCGGCCTCCTGGGCGCACTCGATCTTCTGGCAGGTCGGCTTGGCGTTGATGGGTAGGCCTCCAGTTGCTTCTTCGAAAAGTCACGCACGTCCGTATTGTGCGGTCGAGTAATTTTTGGCACTTAGGTATCCAGTACGTCACACGTATTATGGCAAGAGTGTGTTCTCGTCCTGAGTGTCCAGCTCTAGTTGAGTGTACCTCTCTCACGATGAGCCCCGTGATCCTGTTGTCCCTTGGTAATAGTATGGGATTCTCCTGGTCTGGGTGGAGAGCGGCGTGCTTCAGTCGGCCACCTACTCTGATCAGACAGGTCTGTGTCTAGATGAGGTTCCAGCCGCCTGTCGCTACCTCTCACGGGTTGTCCCTGTAGTAACATTCCTAGTTCTCGAGGGAATCCTTTCCTTTGCATAAATCTTAAGACAGCTAATTTCGCCTCTTCCAATTCGCTGACCTGGAGCCGATTTTTTCGGTGATGTTTGTTCTTTCGCTTCCCAAGCCACCATTCTATAAACCTTCTAATCCACGCTACACTCTTCAGAAGTCGATGCCACGATGAGTACCTGGCCCATAGCTTATCGAGGATACCCTCACCCAGGTCAACGTTCGCCGTCAGCAACATGGTTTCCTCCTTCACCTCTGGGTCTCCGTCTGTGAGGTCTGGAATCCTCAATGGACTCTTTGGCCAACTGTGTTCTTCCAAAAAGAGGAAAGCAGGTCCCCGAATCCACCTGCCCTCCTCGTTGAGCTCTGCTCCATGTAATCCACGACTAGCGTCGTCGGCCGGGTTCAGTGCCGACGTCACGTGGCGCCATTGTTCTACATTGGAGTCCTCGTGTATCGTTGCCACTCGATTGGCCACGAAGGACTGGAAGCGTCTTTCGGTGTTTCGTATGTATTGAAGGACTGCCGTACTGTCTGTCCAGAACACTGATCTGTCTATATGTAATTCAAGCTCTTGCCGTAGTTGTTTGTCTGCCTTAGCAGCCAGTACTGCCACGCAGAGCTCAAGTCGAGGTATGGTCTGCTGTTTCAGAGGGGCTAGCTTGGCTTTGCCACACACGAAGGAGATATGGTAAGTTCCATCTTCACACGTGGTTCTCAGATATGATACCGCTCCATACGCTCGTTGGGAGGCGTCGCAGAAGTGATATAGTTGCACGGTAGTCACTGGATTCATATCCTCTGGTCGGTAGCACCGTGGAACATGAACTCGTGATAGGTGAGGTAGTTCATCCAGCCATCTTTGCCATGCGACCCTGTTTTGTTAAGTGATTTGTTGTGATTCAACACAGGGTGGTGTGGGAGACACCAGGTCTTCCGAGGTGCAACACTGAGTTCTTGACGTGGGACTCGCTCAGCATGTCCCTCGTCGATTAGACGTCTCATCTCTTCTTTATACTTCTGAGAGAGCCCTGGGTTCTTCAGGAGGCATTTTCTCAATCCTGCCAATCGCTGCTCGGCAAGTTTCTTATTGTCTGGGAGTACCGGTTCTTCATGGCGAAACGGGATGGGAAGTTGGTAGTGTCCGTCCACTTGAGTAATTGACGTTGACCACTGCGTCAGGAATCTCTTGTCTTCAACAGAGACGGGATCATCGTTACTGAAGGCTGAGTCGCATTCCCAGAAGCGCCTGACTTGTTTTTCCAGATTTGTCTCCGAATTTAGTGTTGCCATTCTGACAAAGTGGTTGATCACGGCATAATCACGGCTCGCCACTCCAAGCGGTCCATTTATAGTCCAACCTAGCAAGGTGCGTATTGCAAACGGCTCTCCGTCTTTTCCGGTTCTTACTTCTAATGGTGCTAGTGCTTGTGGTATGTCTAGACCTATCAGGAGATCCACTCTTTTCGGTGCTTGGCGTAGCGCAGTACCTCGTAGGTGTTCCCACATGATGACATCTTGGGTGTCTGCGACCGACGATTTCA